CTCCGCGTCCCCGCCCGCGGCCGCCTGGGGCCCGGCGGCTTCGCTCTGCCCTCGCGTCCGCGCAGGTTCCGGGAGGGGGCTTCCAGGGGCTGCGCGGCCGGCCGGCTGCTGCCCGGCCCTTTCTGGGGAGCGTGTTTTCACAGTTCCTGCTCGGCTGCGTTTCGGTTTCCGGGACTGCTACTTGCTAGGCAGGGTCCCACCCACCCCTCGCCCGCTGCTCCGGGTGGAGTCGCGCAGGATGTGAGAGCCGAGAGCAAAATGTGAATTAATAGGCCGCGCACGGGAGCCGCCCCGCCCTCCCGGGGCGCCTTCTGCTTTTCCTGTCCAGTGTGTAGCCTCGGGGTACTGTACCAGTTTCCTTTATCAACCGAACTTTAATTTTTTTTTTCCTGGCTTCCCGTCAAAAACTGAAGGGTTGGTTTTAAAAATTAAAAGATAAGATTTATGTGCAAGTAAAAATCTTGCCTAGTTTCTTTACTTACTACTGAACTCGAGTACTGCCTACGAAAATGCTTTTGTTTGCACACTGTTGCCATTAATCACTCCTTGGTTTAAAGTAGGACACTGTTTGAGGTTTCTCTCAGAGTTTGAAATCCTGCGTGGGTAAAATCTGCCTTCTACCCTGTGACTTCTGGAAAGAACACCGAATGGGTACTTGGAAAATCAAAGCTCCCGTCTCCTCCCCGTAGTGATTTGTTTGTATGTGACCATTGTTTAGGTGTTCTTTCCTCCATTGTACTGCCTTTGGGAACAGTTGTGCTCTGGGTCATTTTTCTGTGCCTAGCAACTACTGCCATTTGTGGTGCGCTACCACATGATTTCATTTGGGAAGATAATTACTCTCATTTTACAAAATGGCACTGAAGCCCTCATTAAACATGATACTCAGGGTCACAAAATTATACCACTGAAATCGGATTTATTTTCCCTCCAAATCCTGTCTGCTACTCTAATTCATAAATGATTAGGGTGTTGTATTTGATAAAGTATCAGTAGAATAATTCTGTAGAGGAGCACTTTTTTTTTTTTTTTGGCGGAACTGGGGATTGAACTCAGACCCTTGCGCTTGCCACGGAAGCGCTTATTGTACTGAGCTATCTCCCAGGCCTCTGAACACATTTCGAGATTCCTTCGCAACAAAAGAACATCCCCTCCATCCTGTAGCCAATTAGACAGCACTCTTGTATCCTCACTGCATGTGTTAATGAAAACCGCTTGAAATACAAGGAACCTCTTGCTAGGATGTGGGACCCAGCAGCTGTCAGTGGACCTCCTAGTGGAAAGCGAAGACTACCATGTCTAATTGAAATTACAAAGGGAAATTGACTATGCAAGCTGCTTAGTTGGAGTTTGTGGAAGCATCTCAATGAGGGTAATGGCACACATGTGAGTCACTTGTTAGGTCTCAGTGCTACCTTTCATGTCATGATTCAGAGGTCCCCAGTTATAGAAAGTGCTAAATTTCAATAGAAATACATACCGATTGGCTTAACTTTTGTAAACATAGAGACTGTACTCATGTGAGAGGTTGAGTGTAAAATATTCTAATATTCTGGAAAATGAAGGCAAATTGCCATGCTGTTCGTAAGAGCTGTTGGGAGGGAAGGCTGCCGCCAGGACGGCTGAAGCTGCTGGGCGCAGTTGCCAGAGGGCTTTGCAGGGACTGGATGTGGAGGCGCCAGAAGGGCCTTTCTGGGGTGGGGCTTTCTAACCGAGGGTGTACCAGCTCTGCTCCGGACACCTCAGCCCATCAGCCCGCGCTAGCAGCACGGGAGGACTGCATGGCCTCCCGGTTCATGCCTGAGCAAGTAAGGACTGGGACAGAAATAAAACCCAGTTTCTGCCCTCCCAGCGCTTGAATTTAATGGAACATTGAAAACTAACCCTATTGCATTCCCTGAAGTCTGAAAATTTAAAGTCCCATACTCCTTGGTTTCTGAAGCATTGCTCCTGTCTTAGGGCTTCTGTATTTTTTCTGGAACATTATCTGCTGGGGTCACTTGGTCATCTCCTTCAGGTCTATCCAAATACCATTTTGTTCACGGAGCCCCCAACCCCCAGCCACACCCTAAAATCACCACGCCAACCGTCTGTCCCCACTTCCTCTAGCACAGTCCAGCATCCCCGGTCCAAGCTGCTTCATTTGTTCCCTACCACATCCGACAACCTGAGACAGCTGCTGCTCGCTCTCCCCTCCACCAGCGCGTGGCGGAGGACAGGGGTGGGGGGTGTCTGTTCTGCCCTCTGCTCTGCAGGGCAGTGCTGGCTGCCAGGGCATGGTGGTTTCCTTAGGTGTTAGGACAGCATTACATTCAGCATGACTATGGATTCAGGGCTGTGCTGTGGAAGTGTGAAGGAGCTGATGCCGATGCCAGAATGCTGTTGGGACATTTAAAGAGATTATGTCAAATTAAATTGTTACCCGGAATACACATGGCCAGCTCTCTGTTTGGGGGGTCCTCGTGCAGCTCCCTTATGCTCCTTCTGCAGGAGAGTGCAGCGGGAGCTGCTGTTCCCGGGCAGACATTTCGCTGATGGATCTGGCAAACTTTTTGAGCACGTAGGTGCTCAGTAAATCCCTGTTCAATGCACAGTGACTTTGAAGAAGGCAGCATCTCTGTTGAGAAATCTTTACAGCCAGGCCTCATAGCAACTTGACATATTTTCTAAACTGTATTATCATGAAACAGATTGGGAGAAAAAAAGGGGTTCTTTGCTGCAAAGTTTGAGAAGTGCTGAGTTCTGTGTCTTTGTGGGTCTCCAACAGTGACTTGGGGACTTGCTTAAAATGTCGAAAAGTCCTGTGAGTTGGGCGTGGTGGCACTCACCTGAAGCCCCAGCACTCAGGAAGCTGAGGCAGAAGGATCCCCATGCGTTTGAGGTCAGTCTGAGGCTACATGGTGAATTCATGCCAGACTGAACTACATAATGAGACCCCCCCAAATAAAAATACTTCCCCCTTAAGCATAGTCCCCTTTACTTGTAGGCATCTTGGTGGGGTAAGAGGGGTCTCCTGATAGCCGGATCAGGTGAATTTTTGTTCAGTGAGTGAGTCATGTTTCACTTTGTCTTGACATGGTACAATTCTTTGTGGATTTAGAAAAAAAAAATTGCCAAGGTACAATGTTTGTTTAAACAATTTTATCATTACATATGACTGTGTAATGACATTCCTCCACTTGTATAAGTTAATTTTTTTTTAGGTTAATTTACCTAGTCATACATTATCAGCCCAGTCAAGTTCAGAACATTTCTATCAGTGCTAATAAAACACCAGCTGCGCCCACTTGTGGTCACTCCTCAGCCCCACAGCAGCCAGAGAGCCACTAATCTATATTGTCTATAGTTGTAACTTCTGGGCACTGTGTGTAATTTGAATTTCATAGTATGCCATCTTTTTCACCTGACCTTTTCCAGTTAGCATAACGTTTTAGGGCTCATCTGTGTTATACCATGTGTCGAACTGTTACCCTGTTTTCATTGCTGAATACTATTACTTTTTATGGAGACAGCCATGTTCGTTGATGTCAGACATCTGGAGTTCTGATTATATCAGTAACGCTACCCTGAGCATTGACACAGAATTCTTTATGTGGCCGCATGTTTTTGCCTCTCTTGGTAGGTATTGTAAGTGGAACTGCTGGATCATATATTAAATTGGTTATATGTCATTTTTTTTTAAACTGTCAAATTGTCCAAATTTGAGCATGCCATTCTATGTTTCTGCTAGCTGTGGTGAGGGTCCTTGTCTCTCCAGGTGGCTGACATGGGTGGATGTCGCTTTTTTTCTGGTGGAACCCGGGATTGAACTCTGGCCCTTGTGCTTGCCAGGGAAGCGCTTATTCTACTGAGCCATCTCCCTGGCCCCATGGCTGTCGCTTTGATCAAACACATTCTAGGTCAGCTCCTGGGTGCCTCAGTGTAGCTTTAATGTACGTTTCCCGGTGGCTAATGGCACAGAATGTCTTTGCATGTGCAAAGGTAACCCTGTAAGCCTTGTTTGTGAGATGTCTTCGTATCTTTTGTCTACTTTAATTGGATTGCTTTTCACCTGCTGAGTTGTAAGCCTTTATTTATATATTCTAGAGATCCTTTTTGTAACCTCCTAGACCATTGTCTAATATTTATTTGTCTTTCTGAGACAGGGTCTCCCTCTTCAGTTAAGGCTGGCCTTGAGCTCACTTTGTAGCCCAGGCTGGTCTGGAACTCACCACAATCCCCTTACCTCAGCCTTCCCAGCACTGGGATTACAGGCATGTGCCAGCATGCCAGCTTTGGGGGTGGCACTGTGGGACTGAGTCCAGGAGTGGTGGTGCACACCTATAATCCCAGCACTGTGGAGGCTGAGAACAGGAGGATCACGAAGGAGTTGGAGCTGCCTAGTGTACGAAATACATAAACGAAGAAAAATAGGCAGGCAATTCATTTTAGTGTATTCCCCATGTGTACAACCATAGTCACATCTCTTTCCAAACAGCCCGTCATCCCCGAAGGAAGTATGTACCTAGTATCAGTTGCTGCCAACTCCCCCCTCCGTGGGCAACCACTACTGTGCTTTCTGTGTTCGGATGACCTACTGTGGACACGTCACGTAAATGGAGTCACATATAATCTTTTGTATCTGGCTCCTTTCATCTGGCATCATGTTTTTGAAGTTCATATTGTAGTGTTTGCCTGAAATTCATTCACTTTGTGACTATGTACTATCCCACTGAATGGACACAGCATGTTTTGTGTACCATTTATTGAGTGGTGGACACTCTAGTTGTTCCCACTTTCTGGCTGTTACAAATAATGCTGATGTAAGTATATGTGTACAGATTTTGTCTGAATTTGTGTTTTCAGTTCTCTGAATTATATACTTAAGACTTAGATTTCATAGTCAGTTGTAGCATTTTATATTCCCATCAGCAATGTATGAGGGTTCTGTTAATTTTTTGCATTGATGGAACAAAATACCACATACCCAAAATTAAGGAATGAAAGGCTTACTTAGCTCACCGTAGGTGGAGTTTTAGTCTGTAATCAGCTGGCTCCAGGGCAGGTGGCAGGGCACAGGGACAGCAGCGCAGGGTGGCAGGAGCCCACAAGAGCACAACAGGGAGAGCCTCCCCCGCGAGCGCAGGTTGTGAGCAGGCTCCCCGCCTGGGCCGGGCAGGATGAGGATGTTTACGAAGTGAGGTCCTGGGCCCTGCTGAGTCAGGTAAGCTTCTCAGCTTCTCCAGCCAGCGCAGTGAACACACGCTAGAGGTAAGGGCAGGTCCTGCACACGCCAGGGTGTAGAGCCCAGGACTTCTCAAGTTGGCAGTGTATCAGCCGTAACAGTTTCGTTTTTTTTATTCTCACCAACATCTTTTGTTTTCTCCCTCATTTTAGCTTTAAAATTATGTCAAACGTGTGGGTGTGAGTAGTATCTCATAGTTTTGATACATATTTCTCAAATGACTAGTCAGGGTTTGCAAAGAAAATATTTCATATAGGACACATCTATAGGATTTTATAGCATCCACCAAAACAGTCAAGTGCAGAAGAGTGCAGGACATGTGTCTGCACACTACAGACGCAGAGAATCTAGCTCAGGGCCCAGATCCCTCCCCTGGCAGTGTCCTGGGGCCCATGGCAGTGTCCCCCATGAGTCCAGCTGGAGGTCTAGAGCCCACCACTGTGTTTCGTGCAAGGCTGTACCAAGCATCTGCACTGGGAAGGCCCAAAGGTCAGCCGTGGAAGCCAGGCAGTGGATGTCAGCAGGATGAAGGACCTGCTGGCTGGCTGCACGATCTGCGCTGGAGGCAAGAAGCACCGCACTAGGAGCAGAGCTCCCCTCAGACAGCCGCGGCCACCCCCAGTGGGGCTGAGGACCTGAGGACCCAGGCTCCTCCTGTGAGACAGCAGCAGCAGGAAAGCAGCTCCAGGAGAGTGCACGGCACCATCCCCTGCAGAGCCAGGAGGCATACTCAGAGTGAGGACCAGAGCTCCCCAAAGTGAACCACCGCCGCCTGCAGGGACAACAAGGTCCTAAGCGCTGATGATGAAAACAGCTGAATTCAGTCAGGAAAACCGACTCGCTTTCTTTTCCAGGAGAATCTGTGGCACTCCTCCTCCTCCTCCCCTCCGGTTCTCCTTTTATGCTGCTGGCAACAGCCCTCAGCTGGGCCTCCCACACCCAGCGGGCACGGGCACGGGTGTGGGCGTGGGCGTGGGCACGGGCGCTGGCTCAATTCAGCTGGGGACCACAAGCTGCCCACAAGTTGTCAGTGCACCACAAGTAAGAATGTCGAGTATCTTTTCATGTGTTTACTGGACATTTCATACATCTTTGGAAACATGTTTATTCAAATTTCTGCCAAAATTGGCTATTTGTTGATTATCTCTAAGAGTCTTTGTATTGATTATTTGTAAGAATCCTTTGGGAGATTTGTCTCAGAAATGGCTTTGGCTCCCCAGCAGTGAACTGGGATTAAGACCGTATATCCACGCTTTCAGACTCACCTGAGCTGCGTGGGGTGGTGCGCCTGCTGTCCCAGCACTCAGGGTCGCCCTCAGTTCGAGGCCAACCTGAGCTGCAAAGTGAGCCCCTGTGTAAAAAAAAGAGAAATTGAAAAAATAAAACTCTAATGAGGCTTACATGCTATTTTTAAGGCTGGTGACAATTGGCACGGTACATACTTTAGTGGGGAGCTTTCTAATTTTCAGGAAAGAAAGTTTTCAGAAGTATATTTTGTAAGAGTATCATCACTGTCGTGGCTGTAATTTGGGTTTGTACTAACCAAAAAATTAATGACAGATGGATAAAATCCTTCTGATTGATACAGATACTGTCTGTTACAGGCGCTCAGTGGAAACACTGAAGCAGAGTTCTGACAGCTACTTGGTGGCTAGTTATAGGAGAGCTTGTGCATGCTCGAGAGTTGGAGTAGATGCCCTTTGAGATTCCTTTCAGCTCTCAGATTCTGTTTTTCCTGCCTGGAGCCCGTCTGTCCTAGTGAAGTGCTCTGAAAAGTACTGTGTATTTTTATCAAGGTTGTGTGAAGAGTTTGATTCTAGTGGTAGTGTAGATTGACACTTTGAAAACAGAATAAAGCCTTGCTGTATCTTTAGAAGATTAAGTTTTATACCTTGTTGCAGTTGAGATAGTTTGATTTCTTTCAATTCTAAAGAATGTTTTCTCCTTACAGATTAGCAAGACATCTACAAAAAGAGGCCCAAGCGCAGCACAATAATTCTGAGTTCACAGAAGAACAAAAGGTACCACAAAATAATCTCTAGATGTAGCCAATTCTGTAACAGAACAAACAAAAACTAACCATATGGTTCGTGCTGGTCTAACAGAAGTGGCCCTTGGGAGCTTCTGTACACCTGTCACTGAATGCATTTCTCTGCTCAGCCGGGAAGGCTTTGGAGACCATACACTGGGGGCGTGGGTGCCCAAAGTGCAAGCCACCCAGAGGCTCGCCGGGAAGCAGGACGGCACAGTCGCCCCCACCTCAACACTGTCTTGAAGCTTTCAGAACTCCTACCTACTTCCTATCAAAACAACCAAGGGGGGTGGGGGCTGCCCAATAGCTCAGTTCTTTAAGTGCCTGCTGAAACAAAGCTGTCAAATTCATGGTTCTGTGGTTCGAAACCAAGACCCTCAAGCTGAACTAGACCCGCTCTGAAGGCAAACACGGTCAAAAAAAAAAAAAAAAAAATCCAAAACAACAACCAACAGGGGCCGGGAGATGGCTCAGTAGAATAACGCTTGCCTGGCAAGTGCAAGGTCCTGAGTAAAAAAAAAAAAAAAAAAATCCAAAACAACAACCAACAGGGGCCGGGAGATGGCTCAGTAGAATAACGCTTGCCTGGCAAGTGCAAGGTCCTGAGTTCAATCCCCAGTTCTGGGGAAAAACAAAACAAAACACACAAACCAATAAAATCCCCAAAAGAAGTGACTCCAAGCCAAGAATTTGCCCTACAAATTTATCAGCAAGATCAGTATACAAAGTTGCAAATAGTTTCAGTGGTGTTTTCTCTTTGAATTAAGTTTGTGTGCCAGGTTGAGTCCCTGAACTGTTAGAGACTCTGAGAAATGGGTTACTTTGAAGAAACCACTCAAAAAGGGGAGAAGCATTTCACTTAGTCATTGGAAAGAAAGGTTTGTGAAGTATTGTTTGGACAATTAAATGCCTGTGTCTTGTCCTCTGAGTAACAAATTTAAGGATAACCTTCCTATTGTTTTGAAATCTTGGTTTTTTTCTCTTTAAGTGAGAGCATCGGCCAAATAGCTCAGCAGAGATGGCTGAGTAGAATAAGCACTTGCCTGGCAAGCACAAGGGCCTGAGTTTAATCCCCAGAGGGGCCGGGGGTTCGATCCCCAGGGCGTGCCAAGATGGCAATTGAGACTGGGCGTGGTGGCGCGTGCCTGTAAACAGGTGGATCACTATGAGTCTGATTTAGTAGTGAGACCCTGAACACCCTGTAGATCCTTCCCTAAAAACAACAACAACAAAAAAAACAAAACAAAAAAAACCCAAAATATCAAAAAACAAAGTGAGAAGGAGTGGAAGGAAACAAGGTCCATGTTATTGTGGCTCCACTGGCTCCGTTGTCAGCCTTTCACCTGGCAGATGGTGACAAAAACACCCTAGCGTTCCTGCCTCTCAAGCCTAAGTGAATTTGTTGCGCCCACAGACTTTGAGCTAATAGAAGTTTGGGAAGAAGAAACCTCCAGAGATTAGAATTAGCTGTATTTCTTACCCAAAGTAATATATTTACATTTTTTAAATATTTAGGCTATAAGTTACAAAATCATGTTGCTACGGGCTGGGGAGATAGCTCAGTAGAATAAGCGTTTGCGTGGCAAGAACAGGGTCCTGAGTTCAATCCCCGGTCCCACAAAAAAAAAAGCTCTAAGGGCCAGAGAGAGATCTCAGAATAAGCGCGTGCCTGGAAAGCACAAGGTACTGAGTTCAATCCCAGTTCCCACCAAAAACAAAAACAGATCATGTCATTACAATTTATAATATTTTTTCTTTTTTCTCTTAATAATTGCTATCATCCACAGTAGTTTTAGGAAACTTGGGATTTTGGCCCAGGGAAAATAATCACAGAGAAAGTTGCGGCGGAGCTGCTTCAGAAAGGGAGCAGGTGTCCTAGTGAAGGGGAGGCTTTTAGAGAGCAGGTGACTGGACTACGACCCACTGAACTATCGCAAAGTGCCAGCGCTAATGGGAGTGGTGACGCGCACCTGTACTCCTGCACTCGGGGGGCTGAGGCTGCAGGGTGGCCTCAAGCTCTAGGCTAGCCTGAACTTCTTAGCCAGATCTTGTCTCTGAAAGACCAGAAAAACAACAACAAAAAAAGGCCATTAAAAACCCAGCAGGGCTGGTGAGATAGCGCAGTGGCCTGAGCACCTGCTGTGGTGAGCGCAGGGACCAGGGTTCGACCCCCAGTCCCGCATGCCACGCCCGCGGCACCTTGAGCCAGCGACCGAGTCAGGGTGAGGTGGCTCACACCTGTAATTGCAGCTCTGGGGAGGCTGAAAACAGGAGGATCACTGTGGGTCCGAGCTGTGTAGTGAGACCCTGTACCAAGTACGTAAAGAAAAAAAATACAAAGCCAATGTTGCAGTAAACCTGAATTCTGAGTTTTCGTTGGCGAGGTGTCTGTTACCTGATGCTCAGCCACAGGATGCTTGCTCCTGCGCCAGCGGGAGGCCTTTGTGCCCTCGCGTGGTGTCTGTGCTGATGGGTCACCTCCCGCGGCTTCTTGGCCTAGTCACCTCTGTAAGATTCCTGAGTCATTCTAGGAATGGATTAGGAAGCGGTCAACTGGCATCACAGACTTGGGCCTTAAAGTGCCTCAATTTTGGTGGATAGAATCAAAGTAGACAGCTTACTAGTTGATAGGTGTGTTAGGAATTGGAAACAGTGAAAACATAGGGAATTTTAATTTTAATGAAATTTTAATCATATTTCATTCACCTGTTTGCCTTGACTTACTTCCAAGTGTGTTTTCACCAGTATCTGTTGCTTAGGAATGAGACTTGTGAGCCATAAGACCACGAGTAGAAAGGGATTTGACCTCCTAAAACATAATAATAAAGTTACACATGTACACGCAAGTACTGCCAAGAAGTGAGCCTTGCACTATGATTAGGCTAAAGAGGCAGAGCTTAACCTTTTCTTGAAAATGTTTGATGGTGCTGTTTGTTCTTTAACCTATGGCTGTCCCATAGCAGCCACCTGGTTGCTGTCCTTTTTCAGCTTCTCGTTGGTAAGACACAAGCAGGGCATGGGAATGTACACTTGCAACCCCAGTAGTCAGTAGGCTGAGGCAGGAGGATGGCTGAGAGTTCAAGACCAGCCTGAGTTACAGAGTGAGAGCCTGGATCAAAAAGCAAGCAACAGCTCCCAGGGAACCAGGAAGCAGCAGGACCTCGAGGAGCGAGCTGAGGTGTTGGGTCAGCAGGGTCTGCATTGGCCTCTCAGCAGGACCTCAAGCGAGCTGAGGTGTTGAGTCAGCCGGGTCTGCATTGGCCTCTGGCTTAGGGCTGAGTTGTTTTATGTGTGAAAGTGGAGATAGAGAATCATAGTGACCTCAAAGCATACTCCCCCAAGCCTTTGTGGGCTGCACCTTGTGCTGCTGTCCAAGGTGCGTGTGCATTATGAGGCCCACCCGGCTGGCCAGCCAGCCGCTGTCAGGTCCTGGAGGACCTGGCCGTTCTGGACCACAGAGAGTAGAAGGCAGGCTGGGTGCACTGAGAAGCCAGTTTTCTTTAAAAATACAGGGAGCCTTCAACTGACCAAAAAGCTGGCAGACTCACAGCCTGTGCCTGAACGTCACATACAGTTTTCAGAGGCCCCGCGTTAACAGATAATTAGAAGTAGCCATCTTGCGGACACATTCTGGGGAATGTTGGTTCTGAACAGCAAGCATGTTACTGGGCACTTCGTGGCTTCTCCCACTTCCACTGTGCTAGCGTGTGTGTCGGGGGGTTGAGAGGTTTCAATGTGCGGTATTCTGAAGTTTGCCTTTGAATGTTCCCCTCTTCCTTTTGCATACTTCTCATCGTGCCTAGAATCCCACAGAATGTCATGTGGGAGATCTCGATACAAACCGTTGGACCTGCAAACTGACTGGATGACTGGTACATGCTGGAGGAAAAGCTCAGTTGTATTTTCCTTTCTTAGCAAAATGATTTATGTTTTCTATTTTAAATTGTATATTTTACAGGCTGGCCAGAGAGCTCAGCAGATTAAAGCACCTGCTTAGGCAGATGAAGGGACCAGGGATGGATCCCCAGCATGCTGTGCTGGCCCCACCCCCAGGTGTGCAGCGAGAGCAGGAGTTAACTGGGTGTGGTGGCACATGACTGCAATCCCAGGGCTTGGGAGGCTAGAAACAGGATCACTCCGAGTCCCGTCTGTGTAGTGAGACCCTGTAGGCCCCGTTCTAAATACATTTTTAAAAAATTGTATACTTTATTTTTATTTTTTAAATTTTATTTATTTGTGTGTGTGTGTGTGTGTGTGTGTGTGTGGCCATCTCAGCCCACCAGGGGGCGGGCTGGCTGGCATGTGGTGCTGAGGGATTGAACTGTGGTCCCTGGGCTTTGCTAAGCTTGTTTTAAGTAGGTGCTTTAGACCACTGAGCCATCTCACCAGCCCTGTATACTTTATATTTTCAGTATCAGTGTTTTGGTAGCAGTAACACAGTTTAGAATTATGTAGAATTATGCCAAACATTGAATAATCTGTGGGACTTTAATAGATTTTTTTTTTTTTTTTTTTTTTGGCAGAACTGGGGATTGAACTCAGTAGATTTTTTTTTTCTTAAAAAAATCATATTTGTATCTTTGTGCAGCTTTTTCCTGACTTCCTCACATTGAGGTCTCAAAAATATTTGATGAATGAATTTTGGTTCTTTGGATATCAGGTTATTGATATTTATTCATGATTATTTTAAGATAAGCCCTGATTTTGATAAGAATAACTTACATTGTTTTTAGAGCTAAAGAACTGCATAGCAGAACTTCTTTCTAAGCCAAGTTAGTGCTGGGCAGAGTAGAAACTTGCCATGTATTTTTTATTCTTACTGGTCTCAGAAGATTTTTGGTTTACAGTAGGGCCAGATTCCTTTTCACCCTCCTGCATGATTAGCTTCCATTTCAGTTCACCATAGCTTGGTCGTCTGCAGCCCAGGAACAGCTGCCAGAAGCTTGCATTCCACTGGGTGCCCTGCCCTAGTGTAGCAGAATTTCTCATGTAAATTTCTGGACCAAAAGAACTCCCTGTCCCATGACACTGGAGCGTTTTCCCACTTGGAGTCAGATTCGATGGCAGGAGAACCCAGCATGGTGTGCTTGTTTTGTTTCTAGGGTCCCTGCTTCTGCCACTTTCCACTGTCCCCTCTCCCGCCCCTAGCTGGACAACATGACTGGCTGTTAAATATGAAAGCAGTAAGCCTGGATTAAGTGAAACTCTGCGTCTTTTTGCGAATTTTTAAATGGGTTTTCCTTATATAAATTAAGTACGTTTTAGAGTGGCTCTTAATTGTGCATTTTCTCCCACTTTCTCGTGAACTTTCATGAAGTGTCCTAGAGTGAAAGGTCGTTTACCTTCAGTGCTTAGTGTGAAGGCACTAACTACTTGCTCACCTTCTCATTGTCTGAGGATCCTTCAAAAGGTGAAACTATTTCAGTAGCAAACATTTGATTTTGACATCAATCAGTAAATTCCGCATGCTTTAAAGGTCACTGCCAAGGCTGACAGGATAGTGTTTCTCTCTTAATACTGGGCTTGGGTGTGGTCCCTTAAAGTAGTTATGAATAATGCCTATTGGTATTTTGCCATAGTTTAGTACATTTCTGTTAAAAAGCTATTGCTTCTTAACTTGGAGAAATGTTTACATTTAAAGTAGTTATCAGTGGCTCAAAGTAGTTAATCTACGACATTTTTATCTTAAACATTAAAGGATGAAATCAAATGGATTTTATAGTAAAGAAGGAAAAGATGATTATTTTTAGAGACGAACTCATTCCTGTATCTCAATACGTACGCGGTTCTCTCTAAGAGAACGTGCGCAGTGACCGCCGACTGCCGTGCTCTGCAGCAGGCCTGGGGCCGCGCCCGCTGCCTCCGGCCTCCGGGCCTCAGTTTGTGCAGGGCGGCTAGGACAGCTGCTGCTCGGGCAAGCCCGCGCTCGCCCACGCGGACTCGAGCTGAGCCCTGCTGCAGCCCCGTGGCCTGCGGGTGAGCAGCGCGTCCAGCGAGGCTGCCTGCTGCTGTCTGCACCGTCGCTGTTCGCGAGGTGAAGCACGCGCAGTCTCTTTTGCGGTGACTGTGTAAGTGTAATTGCCGAGCGTCAGCTTCCAGAATAAATTGAGCTGTTTGAAGAGGATGCTTAGGGCTGTGCGGGGGATGGGCTCCCTCCGGGGCTGGCAGCCGCTGACCATGTGTGCTGCCCACCTCCCAAGTCCTCAGGCGGGCGCTGCTTGCTCTCCTCTTCACCTCAGTCACCTGCCAAAGAAAATGGGCCGGACGAGCCCCAGCCCCCATTTGCTGGGCGCGTGCAGGTTGTCGGCGTTTATGTGAGCACCCCGGCGCAGGCCTGGCCAGCGCTGCACGCCTCATCCCCTGGGGCTTCAGAGGCACCTTTTCTGGGAAGGACTTGGTGTCTTGGCAGTCTTCCCTGGGATTCCCGGTATGCAGCTCTTCCTCTTCATTTCTCCAGTCACATGAATGAACACTTGGAATAACCTGATGTTCCCCTTACTGGTTCCTGCCTCTTCTCTGTTTCAGCCTTTGAATGCTTTTTGGGGAAAGAGGCATACTGGGGATTGAACCCAGGGTATTTGCACTGAGCTACATATCCAGACCTTTTTTATTCATTCATTTATTTATTTATTGTATTTTAGTACAGGATCTACAGGGTCTCACTGTATGGCTCAGACTTGTCGTGATCCGCCTTGTTCAGCCTCTCAAGTGCTGGATTACAGGCGTGAGCCGCTGTGCCGACTCAGTTGCAGTCTCAGTTGCACTCTTTGGGCAGGGCTGGCATGGCAGGCCTGGGATCAGACCTGGGCCTCTGAGTCTGCCTAAGCAGGTGCTTCACTCCGCTAAACTATTTGGCTGGCCTTGTATTTTTTATTTTGAGGCAAAGTTTTGTTAAGTTGCTCAGTTATACAGGTTGGGCTTGAACTTGGAATCCTCCTGTTCAGCCTCCCAATCTGCTGGCATTGCAGGTGCGGGCCACCAGGCACAGCGCAGCAGCCTTCGTTCAGGGCCAAGCTGAACGCCCTGAGCAGAAACGCTCCGAGCAGTGGCAAGGAGTTAGGTGGGCCAGCCGTGCGCCCCGCGCCCTGTCCTGCTTGCACTGTGCTTGCTCGCACGCCTCTCCTCTGCCTCCCAAGTGGCCTGGAGATGGCTGGCTGAGCTAGCGTGATTTTCTAGGTGCTTTCTTTCTAGAGCCCACCCTGCTCTTTGAGCTTCCTAGTGCACATCTTGTGTTTCTTCAGGACATACTATGGCTCGCTTTGCTGAGCTGCACAGAATGCATCGTCTTTGCTTTTGAACTGTAGGGATTGTGTGTTGTCTCAGGCAGTAGAACACAACGGGATAAAGACAGTGTCTGTCTTGTCATTGGTGGTAGGCACTTCAGAACTCGCTAAACAGATCTGACTGAACCTTGGCATGCCCCGCCACGTGCTGAGTGTTGCTAGTAAGTATTTAAACAAGTCAGTGTTGATCTTAAGTCAGAATTAGGTGACAAGGTGCTGACTTCAGACACTTACGTGCAAATCTTTTAGTGGGTGTCAGGCTTTGTGGAAAGAGAAGATGGAGCTTGAGGGGTAAGGTTGCTAGCACCCCCTTTTCATTTCCCTTCTTGCAGTTTGCTCTGTTTTTTAAGATAATTTTCAACTGAAACATAACAATGGGGTGGGGTGAGGTTTGGGTGCTGTATACATCGTGTAGTGCTTAAAGCAGGCTGAACATAGCTGCTGAAATGCTTACCATTTCTGCATGGTGAAAGCCTCCACAGCACTTCCTCCTTCCTGGCTCAGGGAACGATACAGCACATTTCTGGGGTCTGTAGTAGCCCCCCCGTGGGGGGCACTGCTCTCCTCCCAGCCTTCACCAGTTCAGCTTGAATGACATGGAGCAGCGTCTCATGTGCCTGGCCCAGGGCACATGACCTCGGGACTTCCAGTCTGTCGGTCTTACTGAATACCGGGCTTGCTTCTGGGGTAGAACTGTGCTCCTTGTGCGCATGCGCCTCATTTTCCTTCCCCACTCAGTCCATGTCTGTCCTGTCTGAACACAGTTGCGGGGGTCTCTGGAGCACACTGGTCCCATTCCTGTGGCTCTACTGCATGGGACAGGATCACCTGGAAGTTTTGTTTTTAATCTTTGGAAGGACTTCCACACTGGTTTTCATAATGGCTGTGCTCAGGGCCCTTTAATCATACCTACTGCTGTCCGTCGCTAAGGCCAACTTGATTTAGAATTGGTTGTGGCATGTCATGTTAGGAGAGAATATATGCTCACTGTCCTTCATCTCAGTCCTTTGCCTCCTCTTTTTCTTAAATCGGTAAGATGGGGCTGGTGAGATGGCTCAGTGGTCTAAAGCACCTACTTAGAACAAGCTCAGCAAAGCACAGGGACCGCGGTTCAATCCCCCAGCACCACATGCCAGCCCACCCCGCCCCCAGGTGGGCTGAGCTGGCCACACACACACACACACACACACACACATAAATAAATAAATAAATATTTTAGAAAGCACATTAAAAAAAATCTGTAAGATGCTTGAAAGAAATGTAACTTAACTTATTTTTCTTAACAATTTAACTTAAGAGAACTATAAGGCAGGAAGGTAGCTCAGTGGTATAAGTGCCTGCCTGGCAAGTGCAAGAGAGTTTGAGTCCCAGTACAAAAAAAAAAAGAGAACTATAGATCTCTTCCTCCTCCTCTTTCTTTTCCCCCTCCTTCTTTTCCTCCTCCTCTTCTTCTTCCTTCTTTCTTTCTTCTTCTTTCCTCTTCTGAGCTAGAGATTAAACCTGGGGCTCACACTTGCCAGACAAGCATTTTCAAACTGAGCTGTCATCCTCAACCCTTGTTTTGGGTTTTTTTGGTTTGCTTGTTTGGAGATTGGATCTTGCTGTGTTTTCCAGTTTCCATGGCTGGCCTCAGCCTGGGCTTGTGTGATCGCCCTGCCTTACGCTTAGGGTGACGGGGACTACAAGTATGTGCCTCGCTGGATCTCTCAGCAGTGAAATATTAACTTGATTTTAACAACTGACAGTTATGATAGTTCATTTATAGCATTTTATTTTTCCTACAGAAAACCATAGGCAAAATTGCAACATGCTTGGAATTGCGGAGTGCGGCCTTACAGGTAAATAGAGATTTTCTTGTCTTTGTAATACAACCCTCCCCGCAAGGCATTGTGCTAAGGCGTTAGGCACTCATGTGCACTCATGTGCAAAGCAGCGTTGTCTCTGAAGGGTCTTGTAACAAGAGAAACTTACCAGCTCATGTTTTGTGAACTTTGAAAATAAAAGATAAGACTTTAAATTTTTCTATTACTCTTGGTTTGAATGTTCCAGGAATGTAAAAATAAAAAGCAGTTGCTATTAAAAAATAAAAAATTTCATTTTGCTATTAAAAAATAAAAAATAGATTCATTTTGAATATTTGATCCTTGCTACTTAAAAAACATCCTGGGGCCGAGAAGATAGCTCAGTAGAATAAACGCTTGCCTGGCAAGCTCAAGGGCCTGAGTTCAATCCCCGGTTCTGAAAAACAAAAACATATATATTGAAATAAAATACAAAATATACTGAAACCTTTGTAATCAAAGATGTAACGTGAATATCTTGTGTTTAGTCTGCACAGTCCCAAGAAGAGTTTAAGCTGGAGGACCTGAAAAAGCTGGAGCCAAGTAAGTTTTGGGCCTCTTTCAGCAATACTCCTTCTAAAAAGTGCTTTACCTGGTACAGACACTTTGGGTTATGTAGCACAGATGCTGATCCGCCTTAACCTCCTCGATGTTTGGTCCTTTGTGTGTGTGTGTGTGTGTGTGTGTGTGTGTGTGTGTGTGTGTGTGTGTATGGCCAGCTCAGCCCACCAGGGGGCAGGGCTGGCTGGCATGTGGTGCTGGGGGATTGAACCGCGGTCCCTGTGCTTTGCTAAGCTTATTCCAAGTAGGTGCTTTAGACCACTGAGCCATCTCACCAGCCCCTCGATGTTTGGTCCTTTGTGATGTTTTCTGCCCTTTTAAAATTCCTACAGTATAGTTCGCGCTTCACCTCCGCTGTAGAATTGTGGGGCCGCTTCACCTGGATGTATTTAAGCCTTGCGTTGTCTCAATGCCTTTCCTAGGGCCACTGTTGCTCAGGCAGACACTGCTGGCTGAGTCCAGAGGGGACCCGTGGCAGTCCTTGATGCCACTGCCCTGCAGGGCATCGAGAGCTGAGGTGCGGCTGTCGGGCAGCACTGCACAGTATTTCCTTGTGTCTCCTTTTCCCCCATCTCTAAAACTTTTTGAAGTAAATAGTTCCTTCAGATATTTTGGTGCTTCTTAGGGTCCTGCCAAAAACAGTCTATTTGCTGGTTGGAATGAATGCCCTCCTAGAAATGTTGGCAGTGTGGGCAGAGTTGAATAGAAGGCCGAGTGAGTGGAAGTCAGATGCTCCCCTTACGTGGAGACAAGCCCGCCCACCTTCAGGTACCCACCTTCAAGTCAGTTGGCTAAGTAGGGAGTCATAAAAGCATTTTAGGCAGCAAGCAGTCCTAGTCGTGGAGTTGCGCGCTGCGTAGCTGCAGATCAGTTTCTCTCCGAGCGTTTGCAGCTGAGTGGCCTGCATCTCAGAGCACACAGCTGCAGGCCTTTTGGTGTTTCCATGGGCACAGGAGGTGGGCACTGGGACAGCGACTGAGACTGGCATGGTGGCACACGCTTGCAGTCCCAGCTCTTGGGAGGCTGAAGACAGGAGGATCACTACGAGTCCAGTCTGTGTAGTGAGACTCCGTAGACCCTGTATTAAATACATGAGAGAAAAGAAAGTTGAAAGTTAAAATTTTCAGAATTAAAGAGAAAGTTCATACAGAATGCAGACTGCCAGGTTCTCACCCATTTGCAGCAAGTCTGCTAAAGACAGGCGTGACTGAGGTAGCACCGCTGTGGCTGTGATTGCAGGTCCGACACAGGAGGGGCTCTTGGGCTGCACTGAAGGGCTTTCTGTTGCGTTGGGAGCCGGAAGGAGCACACCAAGACAGGTAGCGGGTTTGCTGTGATTCTGGTGGCTCCTCCACAGTGTTGGGGGGGTCGTATGTCGCCTCTTCAGAGTGCTCCCTGAATATGGCAGGAATTACAGTGAGCTACGTCACTGTCATAGTTTTGGTTGCCTTCTGTAACCCACATCACACTTTCTTCTTATTTTAGTGCTGGGATTGTTTCCACAGCCTTTAGCATGTGATACAGTAGCATGCCCCGATCTACTCCACTGGCTCTAGTTCATAAACTTTTTATTATGAGAAATATAATTTCATATCCAGAAATGATTTTATCCATGTCCAAAGTATATGGTGATGGCAATCAAATGGTGTAAAAATTCTCACAAGTTTTTACTGTAAATGACCATATTGTGTCCACATTTTGTTTTATTAAGAGATACTTTGTGTAGGACTATTTTTATACCCGCTTCATTGATACATGGTTTATCTGCCATACAGTTCAGCAGTCTAAAGTGTACGTTTGTGCGTTTCTTTCTACAGTGACACTTGGGCACCCCCTACCCCGTTGATTTTAGGACATTTCATCACCTAGAAGGAACCCTGTGCTTGTCGCATCTCTCCTTTCTCCCCACCCACCCCTGCCATCCCTAATCCCGGGAAGTCCCTAATTTAATTTGCCTCTTCTGGACATTCCATGTGAGTGGAATCCTGTAACATATCATCTTTGATAAGTGGCTGTTTAAGATTATTTTGAGAAAAGAAAACACACTGATGGTATTAAGTAGAAGATTACAGAGTGGCCGGGGTGTGTAGCTCAGTGGTACAAGTGCCTGCCTGGCAAGCAGAAGGCCCTGAGTTCAGTTCTTAGTGGAAAAAAAAAAAAAAAAAAAAAGTTGTAGTTACAGTTAGGATGTCTGTAATAAAGTGGTTATAAAGAAAAGCATTACATTGATCCATTATTGCATTTGATTACATTGCCTGGAATCAAACTCAGCACCTTGCACTTGCCAGGCAGGCACTTCTTCCACTGAGCTATCTCCCTGACCCTTTTTTATTTTTTTTAAAGAGAAGAAGAAGAAGAAGAAGAAAAAAAAAAAAAAAAGCTATTAGGACCAATACAGAATTTCATTAAACAAAATGATAGGAATTCAGTGGTTGCTGTATTGTGTATTGTTATCTTCAAATTGGTTGTTCAGATTACCAGATGTAAGCATGCAAAATTGATCAAAAATTAAAAAGGAATAAAAAAGAGCATTAACTGTTCCTTTCCACAGACCAGTAGAAATTAGCAATACAATTATCCAAGTACATTCGATTTTTAATGATAAAATAATTACAGTAGAATTTTGGCCTTTTAATTTATCACTGTTTTTCAGTAGCATTTGTCTTCCAAGGACTGTGTGAGAAGCTTAGAGATATGCAGCATGCCCCTGAAGACGGAGCTGCTTATCTCAGATCTTTCTGCGTCTTCCTGAAAGAGTGCTCCATGCTGCGCCTGTTGTCGCACGGGGTCTTGCGCTGCATGCTGCTCTTCAGCTCCATGCTGAGCATGCAGAACAGGAGCAGCCCTCCCTGAAGACACCCCTGGCCGCACGGCCCCCAGCCCTGCAGCGTGTGCACAGGAGGGATGGGCGTGAGCTCCCGAGGCCAGCGCTGACCTCTGCTCAGGTCCAGCGAGATCATTAATCCACGTGTTAGTGGAAGAGTGAAGTGAACTCTGCAATGGTGCTGTGTGTGTGTGTGTGTGTGCGTGTATTATCCAAGTTGAGGGCTTTTAAAGTTAATTACTGGTCAAGAATTACACCATTTCTAAAGTTGGTGTTTTATTGAGATGTATTCTTAGGACAGCTCGCCCTTGGTCAAGCGTCCTGTGAGGAGAATTAGTGTAGCTTTCCGTACGCTGGTCTTAGCTGGTATACTGTGCAATCTCTTGAAACGCCTGTCTGAAATGTTACTAGGACAATGACTGCGAAAGCTCTGTTCACTTTCCTTGCCTTCACCGTCACTGCTGTACTACTTTTCCTCGTGCATGCCTGCCCACCTCTGTGCTGTAAGATTCCCCTCCGTTAGTCTATCCTCCAGGGCTGCACAGAACTCCTTCCTGCCCCGGAAGCTTTCCCTGCCTTCTGTGGCCCCCCAGCCCTGCTAGCGTTCTGTCCCGTACAGGAGCAAATTTTAGTACCTAGGATCAGAGTCTGCTGATTCATTCTCATGTATTTTGGCGTCACTTCTCACAGACATTAGAATAACCTTTGTGTTTCCCTCGCAAGTCCATTCTGTGCTTTGCATTCATTCTGAGCCTGGTAGGTTTATGTTGAGTTGCAGAGATGTGAATGTCTTGAGGGAATCTTTGCCCATAATTTGAAAAACAACCTTTGAGAATGGAAGCACTTGCTCAGTTTCCCTACCACAGAAATGGAGCACCGTCAGACACAAAGGCAGAACCCTTCCGGGTGTTGGTGCAGGCATCATCGCAGAGTGTGGGTGTCAGGACGGCGCACCCTGTGAGTGTGCTGTGCGTGCCCTGGCGGAGGACCTCGGCAGGTCTCTGCAGCGGGTCATGCGCTGAGTGCCGCTGGCCGAGCCTTCCGGAAAATCGCACAGGGTCTCCTCTCTCCTGGGCTCGCCTCCCCTCCCTCTGCTCCCCTCCCCCGCTTCATCTTCCTACAACACCAGCACTGGCTTGGTGGAAGGAAACCTCTTGGAAAATTCAAGGTAGAGCCCTGTTGTACAGGAACATTAGGACCCGTTCCTCCATAGCCGTGAGCATGGACGCCTGTCCTGCCGTCACAGGTCGGGAAGCAGCTTTCCCCCGAGCCACTGCTGTAGACACTGGAGAGCTCTTGACTCATAAAGCAGAATCCGAGGCCTCTGTGCCAGGACAAGTGTTTCCTTCTTAAAGCATTGCTACCTAAGAAAAGAGCATGTTAATTCTTGTTACTGTACAAATACAGGATAACTGGTAGTTTCCAATTTTAAGAATTGATATTATCTGTGTTTTAAAGAATAATTTCCCATTTTACCATTATTAAAACATAATTGAGGGCCAGGGAGATGGCTCAGAGGAATAAGCACTTCCTTGGCAAGTACAATGGTCTGAGTTCAATCCCTGGTTCCGAAAAAATAAATAAATAAAACATAATTGATTTTATCTTTATGAAAGCATGACTGTTTCTGTTTTGCTTCTGACAGGCATGACCCTTGGTCACCTGTGGCCCCTACCGTCCCTCCAAAGCTCTGAGGCAGCTAGATCGCGTACACTGTGGAGAATCACCATTAGCAGTGTAGGCAGGCGTCCACTTACATGGCATTTTTAAGTTTGTCCATACAGTTTTGTACCTGTTGCTTAACTCTCCCAGCAGCCTCTGAAAGAGCGGCAGCTAAGCCCTGCTTCCCTCCTGCTCCTCGAAGGAGCCCAGCTATGGCCTTCCCAGAGCCGTCCTTGCTGTGGGCCCTTCTCCTTCGCCCAGAGCTGCGTGGTGCTGACTTAGTTCTGAAGGGCTCGTGCCGCCATGTGTGGCCGCGCTACCTAGCGCGCACGCTGCTGCATGTACACCACACCCTGCTTGGGTCCTCATACCCAGGCCTTACATTGTCTTGTTTCTTTGTTGGCGTATTTATTGTCCACTTTTCCTAGGTAGGGCCTAATGTCTGGGTGTGAGTTCTGCATCACTCTGCATTTTTAGTATGTCAAACAGTGTCTGGTACGTTGCAGCACTCAGGATATATTTGCTAAGAGAGGAGCCGGGACTGAAGGGGAGAGAAAGAGTGAAAACTGGGAATCCGGGCACAGGTTTCCAGCTTCCTTCCCAGGGTCAGCTGAGAGGAGCCCAGAAGGAATTCTAATAAAGCTGGGCATTTACTCGCACTTGCAGTCTCTGCACTATGGGAAGCTGACGCAGGAGGATCACAGATTTGAGCCCAGCCTTGGGCAACTTAGCAAGGTCCTGTCTCCAAATAAAAAGTAATAAAAGGGCTGGAGATGTAGCTTGGTGTGAAAATCGTGGGCTCCTTTCCAGCACTGCTAGAGGGAAGCGGGGGACGAGGGAGGTAATGTTGAAGAGCAACTCCCAACTCCTGCTGGAGTAAGTCACACAGTTGCAGCCTCCTTTGGGATAGCCGCATGCTGCTTCTCTTTGAGTGCCAACTGCAGGACTCCAAAATTAAAGTCGTGGGAGCCTTTGGGGTTGCCCAGCTTAATGCCATGAGTCCACCTTGATGTGGCTGCAGATAGTTACTGGGAATCCTTAAGACCAGAAGTGGACCAGTGCCTCGCATAGCTGGAGTGCCTGTCCAGGTGTGGGTAGGGCTTCAGACTGTCTCAACTGCCACTCAGAGGGCGGGCTTGGAATGTAATCAGCAGGAGCCAGGACCCAGGAAGCCGAGCCCGCTGTGTGAAGGCTGATCCCACTGGGGGCGGGCGGGGGGAGTGCACATGTGCATCATCTACATAAGGGGTTTGTGCGTGTGTCTGCACGGGGTGTGTGTGCACCTGTCTACACAGGGGGAGTGTGTGCGCGCATGTCTACACGGGGAGTGTGTGCGCACATCTACACGGGGTGTGTGTGTGTGCGCGCGCATGTCCACACACAAGCTTATGTGTGCGGGAGTGAGGACGGGAGCCTTTCAGCTGCAACCCCACCTACTGGTTTCACGGTATTCCGAGGAAGCCTGCTCGATCCGAGCAGGATGTGCTCCTGCAGCGCTCCCCACTCTGGCGCCCTCCTTGGCTGCCTGCAGCGTGCACTGTAGGATGTGCTTGCTTCCTGTTAGCGCTGTGGCTCAGGCTCCAGGGCAGATGCGCAGCGGCTCAGGACTCACAGTGGGGCTGGGAATCTAGAAGCTTACTGTGCCCAGTACAGGTGGCTGAAAATGGCCATGTGAGATCCATTTAAGGTAAAGTAACTTGGTTTTTATTCGCAGAAGAATTCATGTTTCTTTATCTTTTTATTGTAGTCCTGAAGAATATTCTTACCTACAATAAAGAATTTCCATTTGACGTTCAGCCTGTCCCTTTAAGGTAAAAAAGTTTTAAACCATCCATATTTTACTTCTTATTTGCTGCCCGTTGCATTCCTGCTTTCCAGATGTCTCTGTGTACCAATGTGGGCATCACTGGTGTGATTGGTGGCACTGGTGGCACTCATTGGTGGCATCAACACTGCTATCAGTGCATCAATTTTTAAACAATCTCCGCCGTGCCGTGAGGAATGGGCACCTGAAGCCTCTGTGCTACCCTAAGCGTGGCTCACTAACTTTCCTGTGCTCTCTCATGTAGAAGAATTTTAGCACCTGGTGAGGAGGAGAATTTGGAATTTGAAGAGGACGAGGAAGAGGGGGGTGCTGGAGCAGGGTCTCCGGATTCCTTCCCTGCTCGAGTGCCCGGTGAGTCCTCGCGCTGCTCGTGGCCGCGGTGCTTAGTCCGGGCGGCGTGTTCGGCCCCTGAGTGGGCTCGAGCTTGCTGGGAGCGGCGCGCACTGCTCCAAGCCCTGCCGGTCTTGAGCCAGTTTCCCCGGGCACTATGTGTGGCAGCCTGGCGGGCGGCGTGCGCGGGTGGGTGCCTTCCTGTCCGCACCAGGCGCTCAGGCAACCATGCACTCAGAGATGCGCAGGAGGGGCCACCAGGCCTGCGTGGAGCATCCTGGCACTCACAGTTGTGACCAAGCCAGACCATTTCCGCTGAGCATGGAGTGCCCTGGCTGTGTACAATTAAATGCAAGCTGAGTTCAGACTTGCATTCTGGTGTAGTGTTTCCTGTTTCAGTAGAGATGCAGCAAGCGTGCTGAACCCTCCTGGCCTCTGAATTTTTCCCCTCAGAGTAAGAAAGAACGTGCAGTCTCATTGACTGTGCTTGCCTAGGAACCATGCTGTCCCAGGCTGTCACTAAAAAAACCTTGTAAAATTATAATCATTGAAAGTGACATCAGGAGGGAGGGCAGGGAGAGTGGGGAGGATTCAGGTGTGGTAGGTGCGTGTGCCCGCACCCCACGATGGCAGGGTCGCGCACGGCACAGATGTAGCGGTCAGCATTTACAGACAGCAGAAATGACACCGATGCAGCCAGGGGACGCCTGACCTTCAGCCTAGACAGCAGGAGGAGTGCGCTGTGCCCAGGGAATCCAGGGCTCCGGCAACAGGGACTCCGCTTGTCAACGTCTGTAGTGTGATTCTAGGCTCGTGGCTTTCTCATCACCTGTGTTTTTAGGTAACTTGTTTAACTGTAAGTTTTATGAACTTTTTGCAGTCAGGTTTCTGTAACCAGGCCTGCTGGTACACACCTATAATCCCAGCACTTGATAGACTGAGGCAGGAAATTCACACAGTGGAGGCCAGCCTGGGCTGCTTAGTGATTTCCAGGCCAGCCTCAGCTACATGGCGGGACCCTGTTGGCAAAAGCTCCCTCCCCAGCGTCTTTTCCTGTGGCCTTCACCTCCATCACAGTCATTGTAGTTTTGTAAGCTTCGACGGACACCCACCCCGGTCACTTCTGCTGTGGTGCGTGAGACGAGGTGCATCATGGAGAGTTAGACCAAGAGCAGTTTGTTTTCATTTAAAACAAATCTGAATTTGTACCCTACCTTTCTTGAAAAGGATAATATGTCCGTAGACGTAGCTTCCTTAGTGTTACTCTCTTTCTCTAAAGTTTTAGTCCGAGAGGGCAAGCAGTGCATTTCTGTTGCAGGTAAGCCAGCTATTACTTGCGTAAGTCATGACAGAGGTTGAGTCAGGCCTCTAAAGGTCATCCAGGTAGCGTTCATGAATAGACGGTACAGAGACGGACAGCCGCCCCAACAGGTAGGGCCTGTTGCTGGTTCACCTGTGCCTCCTGCTGTGGGGCTGCGGGGACAGGAGCTGCAGCCAGGGAAGCTGCTGTGCCGGGGTTCAGCCTGGCTTCCAGCATGCTCTCGCCCTGCACGGGCAGCTCTTGGCCCCCTCAGCTCTGAGCTACACTGCCTTTTCTGGACTCCTTGCAGACTTGGTAAGGCCAGATGTGGTGGCACACAGCTGTCATCCCAGCACTCAGGAAGCTGAGGCGGGAGGATCTTCATGAGTTTGAGGCCAGCCTGGACTATACAGTGAGACCTTGTCTCAAAAACCAACAAAATAAAACAACAATTGCTAAGGATATTTTAAATCAAGACTGGAATTAAAACCTAATGGAAGACTTTCTGCATCTCTTGACAAGATTATGAAAATGTCTCCGTCTGCTCATGTGAACTACCTTTATACTCTTGGTAATTTAGCCAAGTATTTTGGAAAATAGTCACTAGCTCATGGAGATGCTCCTGATGGCATTCTGTGGCATCGTGGGTGTCAGTCATGCAGGTGTACAGGGGTCTCAGACCTACAGACTGGTTTCTTGGGACATGCAGGACGGGGAGGAAGGGAAGTGAGATTGAAGAGATGTAAATCCATGAGCGCTAAGCTTCGACTTAGGATCTTTCTGAGTCATAACTAAAGGGTGTGCTGGTCCAGTGATTTCTCAGCCTTCAGATAATGCGTTAGGGGGATGAGATAGGAGGTGCACATGCATGCGTCTAAACGCAGCTACCATGAGTAACGAGTGCTGGGCACATTTGGAGGCCACAGTACGTGGTGCTCACCGTGTTACTAAGTTAGAGCAGGGTGAAACACTTCGGTGTGTGTTAGCAGTGTCTGCTCAGGAGCTACAGCAGACCTGGTTGTTATTGTGGCATCTCTGTTGCCAGGTACGTTGTTACCGAGGCTGCCCTCCGAGCCGGGCATGACGTTGCTCACCATCCGAATTGAGAAGATTGGCCTGAAAGACGCTGGGCAGTGCATCGATCCCTACATTACAGTCAGCGTGAAGGGTAATGAGTCTGCTTCCCCTGTTACATTACTTCTGTTTGCAGCAGCGTTTTGTAGCAGCCCCTTTTCATTCATTCTACGATGAGGCAGAATTCCTGCAAGAAATCAGTGCTCCATCACCAAACATGTCAGCATGTTGTCCATTTTCTAACTTACATGCTTGCTTGTGAGAGGTTCTTCTGTCTTTTGTTCTCTTTCCGTTCGCCATCGTGGCTGCTGCTTCAGCGTACGTGCCTCCATTAGTCATGACTGCAGTACCTAGCAGTACAGTCCCAGGGAGGGGCTGCTCCACGTGTGAGCAAGTCCTCGTTGCTTTTCTGTGCCCTTGCCCTCCCTGCCCTCCCCCTGCTTCCCGGAGGCCTTGCTGTTCTGCAGACTGCCGAGGGCGCTAACCAGAATTCCACATTATTCCAGCTAGGGCTTCCACGCTCGCCCAGGTTGCCAGGCCCTCACTGCTGGGGCCCTGGTCTCCTTGCCAGAGCCCACATCTTCTGTGCTCCCATTCTTTCCCTCCGGCCGTCCTGGAAAGGCTTCTGACCCTAGTCTTGCCAGGGAGCACCATTAGTGGAGACAGCGTGGCCACAGCACCCAGGCCCATGTGGTCCCCTGGGCAGCCAAGGGCAGCTGAGCCGTGGCAAGGAAGTGGGCTTCTGCTTGGGACTTGCTTTTCTCTCCCCTCCAGTGTAGCAGCTGAGCTACTTCTTGGAAGCATTTTCTTCGGTCTTGAAGAGGGAAGCTAGTGCTTAAACTGACAGATTATAAAGTACTTTACTTGTATATCACCTGTCTTTTAAAAAATAATTATTGATTGCCAGATGTGTAATCCCAGCTGCTCAGGCAGCTAAGGCAGGATGATCACTTGAGTCCAGGAGCTGAAGACGCCAGGAAATGCAGTGAGACCTGGTACTAAAATTTAAAAAAGGGGCTGGGGAGATGGCTCAGTGGAATAAGCACTTCTCTGACAAGCACAAGGACCTGAGTTCAATCCCCGGTTCTGTAAAAAAATAAAATTAAATTAAAAAAATAATAATAGTAGACTAGGGAGATAGCTCAGCGGCATAAGCACCTACCTGGCAAGTGCAAGATCCTGAGTTCGATCCCTGGTGCCAAAAAATAAAACCAGTAAGAACAACAACAATAACAGAGTGGGGCTGGCCAAGTAGCTCAGCAGATTAAAGTGCCTGCAAGCAGGCACAGGGGCCAGGGGTTCGATCCCAGGGCCTGCCATGCTGGCCTCACCCCCAGGGCACCCTGAAACAGCAATGGAAACTGGGCCCCTGTAATCCCAGCACCTGGGAGGCTATAAACAGGAGAATCACTACAAGTCTGATGAAGTAGTGAGACCCTGAACACCCTGTGGACCCTTCCCTAAAATACAAGGAAAGAAAACCAAAAACAATAACAGAGTGTTAAGGATGAAGTTATTCCATTATCCAGAAATAACCTGACAATACAAGTGAGTTACTTTAATCTGTAGTTTAAGACAAATCAGAGAAACCAATCTGGGCTGAAATTAAGTGGAGGGAACTTTTATCAGTCGTAGAAACTCAAACCCATAGGAGAGCAAGGAATTGCGCCACAGGAAGGTGTGCCTATGGAGAGGCCGTGCCCACAGCACCCGGCTGATGCCAGCTTCTGGCACTGCCACTCGGCACAGATGTGGTGTGTGAGAAAGGGCTTGGCTCTGCATCCTGGCTGGCCGTGCGCAGGGCGGCCTGACCCTTTCAGAAGCGCGCGGCGTAGCACACAGGAGCATTTAGTGATGTTGCAGTAGGCGCTGCGTTGCTCTTGCGCATGTACTGCACTGGAGCGCAGGTCTCCACAGCCTGAAGCAACCCAGACTGCTCCAGTCGTGCCCTAGACGGTTCTGTCTGCGCACATCAACTTGGAGCAGCCATTGCCGAGCCCACATGTTAACCGGGATTCCAGGATCCTGGAAATTAGAACCAAACACAATAAGCTGGTCTCCGTCTGCTTCTTGAGAATCCGTTATGCTCACTATAGCCAGATCGTAGGTGACGTATGTGACATTTTACCCATTGATGAAGTTCTCATGTCCATTTTGGTTCTCAGCTTAAACAGGCAAATTCTGATAATGGTAGATTAAAGCTCTTTCTAAGCCGTGCAAGTAATCAAAATTGGAACTTTGGGCCAGAGGCCACATTTTTCCAGATTGCAAACATTGCAGGTTTTTATTGAACACAAAGACAGCAGTGTGTCCATAAGGGAGTCACTTCTTCACTTGCGGAGCACATAGCCTTCTGCCCTCTGTGCTCTCCCACCACACAGGGCCTCCGCCCCAAGCCACGCAGTCCTCCACCCAGCAGCCAGAGTCTCTGCCCTCCCCAGGCCTCTGCGGTTTCCTTGCACTGGCCAGTGCACCGACAGGTGCTCCTAAGCAGAAACTTGTTTCTCTAGATCTGAATGGCATAGACTTAACGCCTGTGCAGGATACTCCTGTGGCTTCAAGAAAGGAAGACACGTACGTTCACTTTAACGTGGACATCGAACTCCAGAAGCACGTGGAGAAGTTGACCAAAGGTATGTGGCAGGGGCTGGGGGTTCGGCTGGACTGCGTGCCCGGGGCTTGTGTGCTTTATGGGGCGGCCTGGTCGTGCCTGGCGGAGCAGTGTCCTGCAGATGTCAGGAGACAGTGACTCAAGCAAGTGAGATCCACAAGTGGTTTGTGGAAATGTAGGGATTAGGAGTCGTGTGGCCTAGCTGTGGGAAAGCCTGGAAATAACGAACGCTGTCATGGTAAGATGTGATCGTCTTCTCAGCAAAGTGGGAAGTGTTCTCATGCTGACAAGCAGTGGGATCCCGGCGGGCACTCCCTACAGGTGCCCAAGGGCTGTCGCCCGCCCACTCTGTGGCAGCGGTTTCCCTGTCACATGTACTGGGGAGGATGACACGTGCCATCCCTCGGAGTCTGTTGGCGGGGAGCTGGAGAGGACGGCGCGTTTCTGGAGCTCCAGGTTACATTTCCGTGGGCTGCTGGTCACCAGAGTACATGCCCCTGCCTGGAAAGACTCGTGCTTAGCTGGGAAGACTGAAACGGAGCCAGGCCTTGGAAATCACGAATTTTGAGATTTTTGCTTGAGGAGAAAGAGAAAGAATTAAGCTGCAGCACAAGAAACTTTCTCATGCCTGTCGGGTCTCCCGACACAGTGCTTCGTGAAGCAGTCCCGGGGCCTTGCCAATCTGTGAGGTCTTCACGTTCCCCTCCTCGAGCTTAACATCTGCGTTCTTTAGCGACTGCGCTTACGTTGTACTTGTAGAAGAAGCTGGTGTGATCGGGGAAGTGGCACCTGAGCTGAGGAGCTGGGGCAGCCACAGGCCCACATTGACCGCAGGGTGCTTGGTAAAACTGTGCCTGTTCCTCTGCTTGTGGGTGAGCAGGGAAAGCACAGCATCCGGGAGAAAGTGCTGCCCGCGTTCACGCGACCTGTGTGTTTCAGGTGCAGCAATCTTCTTTGAATTCAAACACTACAAGCCCAAGAAGAAATTCACCAGCACCAAGTGCTTCGCTTTCATGGAGATGGACGAGATCAAGCCCGGGCCCATTGTAATAGAGCTGTAAGTGCTGCGGCTGCGCTGCGGTTTTCCTGCGTCCTCCCACCCCCTCTGTCCCGGAGTGTATGAAGATCAGTCATCTGGGCCTTTCAAACAGTATTTTTTTCTCTCTCCTCCTCTTTCCTTCTCTCCTCCCCCCTCCTCCCTCCTCCTTCCTCCTTCCTCCTTCCTCTTCTCTCTTCTCTCTCTTCTTCCCTCTCTCTCGTGGTTACAGCTACAAGAAACCCACTGACTTTAAAAGAAAAAAACTACAGTTATTGACCAAGAAACCACTTTATCTTCATCTGCACCAGACTTTGCACCAGGACTGACCGGAGGAGCCTGAACTCCTGTGGCTCTCACCAGCCAGTAGCACCCACTGTGGCTCTGTGGGGGCAGGAAGTGGGCACAGCTGTGCTGCGGAACTGAGCGTGGCGTGGCGCGGCGCAGCGCAGGACTCCTTTGGGCCTAGGCTTACTGCAGGTGTCGGACGTGATCTTCTGTGAACCGTGCACCACCAGTCCGTTTTCTGTCTTACCTCTGCCCTGCCCTGCCCTGCCCCGGAACAGCGCTGCTGTTGAGGTGCGCTCCTCCTCAGACCTGGTGGGCGGAAGGGCGCTCTTCGAGCAGCTGCTGCCGCCGCCCCTGTGCCCCGCGAGCCTGTCTGGGTGGGGCTGGCCGGGCTGGCCGCAGGCTGTGCTGTCTGCGTCTGTGGGGAGGCTGGGTGGTCCTGCGGAGAGCAGTGTGCCTCGCCTGGATCAGTGTCCCCCGGTGGGACAGTGTCCCTGGCTGGTGGCTACAACTTTTTTCCCCAGATAACCAGACTATTTTTCTGAAAGTGAGAATATTATAGTTGTATTCATTAGCTGTTTGATGTCACATTATTTTTTCTGATGATTTTAGAGTTAATATGGGAAGTATCTCAGAATAAATACACATTTTCAGATGGGTTTACAGTGTCTTCTAAGTCACATCGTCTAAACAGTTGAGTCCAGTGTTAATGAGATACTGCAGCAATACCTGGTTTTCTGACAGCTGATTATGAAACCGTAAAACCTGCATGCTTTTTCGTAGTGATGAGTATGCAAAATCGGCGAGGATTTTCTTTAGTAGTATTTGTAGCTAGGCTTGCCGTTTATTTCCTTGTGAGCTATGCTGGCAGTCATCCGCGCGGAGGCATGCAGGTCACAGCTTGCTACAGTTGCGACCGTCCACCTTACCTCTGACTTAGTAGGAGACCCACATGAACTTGCACAGCACACGAGAATCAGGGCTCGGGGTGGGCTTGCCGTGGCCCATCACGGCAAGTGGGACCCGCACATTTTAACTCCCAGTTTTAGACCAGTGCAAGAGGGTGCAGTGCCGGCTCTTCCTGCCCATTTCAGGCTGGGGTGGTAGCCCTGCTTAGGCGGCAGTGCGTTTGCTCCTGACAGCGGGCCTCCTGTCGGGGGCTCTCCTCCACCTCCGGCACACGAGGCCACCCAGGCCGTTAGCCTGAGGGATTCTCCACTAATTGAGTCTTGCCTTTCATCTTGATGGGTAACCCCCAGACCCTAAGGTGATTCAGTGCACGGCAGCTCCAGGGGATGAAGAATTTGCCTTAATAAATTGCTATTTTCCACTTAGTTCCTAAACTCTGGAGTGGTGTGACTCTCCAGGCAATGAGCTGTGGGGGTTGGGGGGACCCTCCCTGTGTCCTGTGCCCTTTGAGGTGCTTGGCAGCATGCTCTGCCCTGTGGAGTCCTCAGTACTTGTTTGATGCTGAGACCTAAACACACAATCCTGAAACCTACCACTAAAGTGTCGCAGAACAGGTGTGCTGTTCTCCTTCATTGCTGAACTGAGGCACGCGCCAGAGGCATCGCCTTGCCTCAGTTCTGAGACTGGATGGGGACAGTGTGGTCTGCTGAGCTCAGACCAGAACAGAGTGACTGTGGCTCGAAGCAGTAGGCACAGAGTGCCCACCTGCCACCAGTCACCAGGATTCGCTTCCCAGCGAGGACAGGCTCCAGCGTGGCAGTGCTGTAGGGAAACATGGAGGCAGCCCAGGGAGCCGCCTGATCCTGGGGTTCCCAAGATGAGAAACAGGGTGTCCCCGAGAGGCGGGCTGTTCCGCTCTGCCCGGCTGGGCCGTGGCTGCCTGCCTGGCGGGTCCTTGGCCACAGGAGGGTGCAGCTGGTGGAAGTGAGAGGCGATGCTGACCGGCCGGCTCCGCTGGGGTATGGGGCGGAGAAGCACCAGCAGGGCTCTGAGCAGGGCATTAGCGCTGAGGAAAACCAAAGGCTTACTTGGCTGCTCCTAATTCTACCTGCTATTTCAAGTCAGAAGTCATGCTGACCTTTGTGTCTTGAAGAGGCTGGAAGGTGATGTTCAAATGTTGTATTTGTGGCTTTGTCTAATGGCACAGGCGCAAAGCGGCAGACGGTATACTGGTGGTGTCCCAGTGTCCTCCTCTTGACGTGAATTAAATGGAGGCTATGTGGATGGAACTGTCCCGAAGGGTTCTTCCGCTCCTCGAGCTCTGAGGCACCGTGCCTTAAGAGGCCTCATCTTCCCAGGCACTGACTCGGAGCGTGAGCAGAGCTCTGTCATGCCGAGCCACGGGGCACACAGCGCGACTGTGGCGGGCCAGGCTCGGGCCTTCGCTAGGTCATGAGCCGAGTGACAGTGGAGGAGTGCTGAAGGAGCCTTTCAGACTTTCACCTTAACCTGGATGCCGAGCCTCCGTGAACGTCCTGTGGAGCTGCTGCACAGTGCCGGGGTGGGCAGGCAGTGCGGCCACAGGCCCAGCCCACGTGGTGCTTCTGAGGCCCGGGCGCCTCTGCAGGTCCGGAATGGCCACCGTCAGGCAGAATGGCCTTCAGCTCCGCCGGCCGGCTGCTGTGCTGCGGGTGCCCCAGAGCCTTACGCTCCTTGTTCTCATGCTGTGTTATTTTTCTTTTTGGTTCCTTCCTTGAAGTCAGTTGCAGGATCTGAGAACAGACTGTTTTTATGAAGAAATTGGCTTTTGTAATCGTGACGGTTAAAAACCCAGAGTCTGAGGCCCAACAGAGTTTCTATTGAACTCACTCTTGCCCAGCGTGACCAGGCGGGGGGGCTGAGCAGACTGAAGGTGGGCGGCAGTCACCGTCCAGCTCACAGGGCTTCGCTCGCTCCTGCTGGCCTGGGAGCAGGACTCCTGACAAGCAACGACCAACACAGGCAGGGAATATTAACAAACAAGTTTTTATTAACTATTGCTACAAAGGACATGGGCGGCAGGGAGAGTTTGTGATCTCTGAGTAAACCCCCTCACGTAACAGTCTCTGGGGCAGGGCGGGGCGGGACAGGGCCAAGCGTGGGAACACCGCTGCTCTGCATTCAGCTGACACGGACGATAATGGAAATACGTGTTCTTAAAGCATTTCCACAGGAAATGGTCATCTTTATGACATTCTGAATCATTTTACAATTACATATGCTACACTAACTAAAACACAGGTATTGATATTGCACATTTCAAAGTTGGAAGGACACTCAAGCTTTAGGAGGCAATTTTTAGAGGGGAAGATGAGACTTCTGAATTGTTGGGCTCAAAAATGCACACTGCCAAGGCAGCCGAGTACTGAAAACCTTCGAAAATAAACTTTTGGATTTCAGGCCAATGGAAACCTCCGCCATCTAGTGCAGTCCGCTTCCCTCTGCATGGAGGTCAGTCAAGGGCTCTGTCTCAGAGCCTGCGAAGAGTCCTGGCTGCTTCGAGGAGAGGATGGTGCAGGCTCTTCTCGGGGGCCTGAAAGCAGGGAGTTCCCCTCAGCTGGCGGGAGTGGCTGGTCCTGGGGGCCAGCAGGTGGTGGTGGCAATCGAGGACCTGGAATAAAGTACTCTCTGGGACCAAGTGGGCCTGGAGGTCGGAATGGCACGGGTCCTGGCACGAATTCCCGGGCGTGTGGAGGCAGGTCTCGGCGTCCAGGAGGGATGCCCGGGGCATACTCCCTCAGGCCAAGCGGAGGGCACATGTAAGGCACTGAAACCAAGAGCGACATTGCAGACACATCCCTCATGCACCAGGGTCCCAGCGACCAAGGAAGCATCTAATTTTCACAACCCCAGGAAGCAAAGATGCCTCTGACTTCCTAAGCTACAGCTTGAGCCAGCCAGCCAAGCAGCACGCAGGCAGGACCGAAGCGTGGGTTTCCTGGCCCCATTTCCTTCCCAGTGCAATTCTGTGGCTCTCTAGAGGTGCAGCACCTGCACCCCAGGATGACAGTGAGCCCTGTGCTGCAGTGACGGCCTTGGTAAGGGAATCCCACTATTTTTTCTTTTTTTTCCCCTACTGCCTACTGCTGACAGTCACAAACTGACACAGCAGCTGGGCATGGCCCAGCCACAGGCCACCAGCATCTTATGTACCTGCTCTGCCGGATGTGGCCTTGCACCGCCACTGCTGGATCTCCCTGCTGAACTCAGTGAAGCCGTAGGAGGCTCCTGTGCGACACCCCGCCCCCGTTCTGACTTCTCTCCGTGCCCCGCAGCTTTAAGGCCGCAGGACACCTTCCACCCACCACTGTGCAGGGCTGCCAGGGAATGAGCATCTGTACACTGGGACTTCATGCTTCCTGGGAAGAGCCCTTCCCAGCCACGGGGTCAGCTAGTACCCGGCTGTGTCCAAAGGAGCTGGGCGTGGAATGGGCTCAGTGCGCTTGGCCTTGCATTACAAAACCCTGGAAAGCAACTGCTGAGCAGGGCAGGAGAGCACACAGGCTCTCTGACACGGTCATCAGCAGCTGTCCTAGGAGCAAGGGGAGAACAGCTCTGCTGTCCAGAGCATCCTACCAAATGGCGGAGGCGGCGGAGGCATCGGCCGAGGCCCGAAAGGTCCACAGAGTGGCGGCGGCGGCAGTGGTGGCCCGTATCCCACAGGTGGTGGCAGCGGGCCTCCCATGAATGTTGGCCCTGGGAATGGAGGGGCTCCCTTCGCGGCCATGCTCGCCTGTGAACAGAAGCAAAGGAGTTCCTCTCCTGAACTCGGTGAAAACACAGCGAGCACTCAGCCTGGGAGATAGCAGGCACCTGTCCAGACTGGTCAGTGCAATCCCCCAAGTCCCCGGGCTCAGACATCAGTAGGGCGCCACACAGCAAGCACTGCCATCAAGCTGTTCCTACTCCTGTGTGCTGAGGTGAACTCTGGAAGAGTAGAGCCACACACACTGGACGGCGGAGCTGGGAGACAGGCTCACACATCCATCCTCGCAGCACGACAGTGCACTGCTGTGCCCAGCAGCATGCGTCACAGAGGCGGTGTGCAGGCTCCAAGGGACGTGTGTACCTAAAGCGCTGTGCCTGGACATGGAGGGGCTCTGCGCGCCTGTGTCACTCAGGGCAACCAGGCTCCAACAGTGAGCCTCCCTTGCCCCCGACACTGCACCGGGACAGGCTGGGTCCTCAGCCGTGGGCCCAGGGCCACAGCACAGCACCGCGCGGTGCAAAGGCTTCTGGCTGTGGCCAGAAAAGGACCTGAGGAGGCGCTGCTGCAGAGCCGCCTCCCACACACAGCTTCTGCGGACAGCCGTGCGAAGGCCGGGATGCCCAGGGCTGATCTTACGGCTCCACTGAACCAGCAGCTCACTTCCAGCCAAGCTGACAGCCACCCTGACCTGAACGCTACCACAGGGCTGCCTAGTCCACAGCCAGAGGAGTCTAGCAGGCTTCCCGACAGACGGGCGAGCGGAGCCTGGTGCATGCGCCTGTAATCCCAGCGCTCAGGAGGCTGGGGCAGGAGGACTGCTATGACCTGGAGGCCAGCTTGGGCACCCTGAGCTCACAGCTATTGAGCTACGTAGAGGGACCATGTTTCATAAAAAGAATGCACTGCCCAGGCTACAATGGCTGTCACACTTTAGGCTGGCTGTGGCAACAGCCATCACACTCTCAGTACACATGCACGAGTGCTCCGAGTCAGACTCCAGCGTGCCCAGGTCAGCAGGGTCACTCTACCACGCACTCAGGTGGCAGATGAGTCAGAGACTGCTAAGGCCTGTGCAGGGCCCAGGCCTCGTCCTGTAGCGCATGCCCTGGCTGCCACCAGATGCCTGGCCCCAGACCTCACCCTGGCAACAGAGGACGTCTCCAGCTTGTGTGGAGCAGTTGGCTTTTTGAGAGAACAAAGGAGATATACAGCACACAGACAGGAGCGAGCATGGTACGAAGAGCAGGTTCCCAGGGGCCAGCAGGCTCACCTTGCCCTCGTCCATGCCCTTCGCAGGAGAGGAGCCTCGGGAGCCACCATTCCCCGCGGGACCGGGACCGGGACCAGGGCCTAGATCTGGGAGGACAAGAGAATGCATTCAGACTACACTCAGAAGTGACTTGGTCCCCAGCAGAGCAGAGGGCTTCCCGGGCATCGGAAGACACTTAGCAGAGTGCTGGCTATGCTTCTCAGAACTACAGCAGCACGGCCAGGTTAATGGCCAGCTCCTAACTAGCAAGCTGCCCGGGATACACACAGTCTTGGTATCAAAGGTGTCCTGCTTTGGCAGAGACTTAAAACTCCAAAACCAGAGCTGCCTTGGAGCCCACAGGGCGGCAGCAAGCCCCACACTTTACAGACAGCACCAGCCCGAGGCTCTGAAAACAGGCCCTTTTCCATCTGCAGTGGTTTCTCGTGGGAGAACCCTGCGACAGGAAACAAGAGGCAGGCTGGGGGGGGGGGTGGCTGGGGGGCGCGAGGGGCTCGCATGCACCAGCTTCCAGGTAGAGCGATGGCTCGCAACATCCTAAGAGAGACACACATTTGCACTGCACAGTACGGGGTAACACTAGAAAACCAAGGATCTTTTCAGCCCTGTAGCAAAGCTTGCAGTGAAGGGTCCACCAACACAGCCCAGAGGTGTTCTCTATGCTAGACAGACCCCAGCCTACCACTGCTTTCCTCCCACTCGGAAGAGCTCACCAAAGTCACTTCTTGGCAGGTCTCTTCGTGCGAAGTTCGCAGAGTGTGGCCGGCCTGGGGGCTCTGCACTCAGGGGCGGGGAGCACTCGCCACCACTCACGGGAGATGGGCCGAAAGAGCCATTCTGGCTAAGGGGACCTGCGGCAGGAGCGCTTGTTACCGCTTCTGGTGCCTCTGTTTCTCGAGGCGGCTGCCAGCACCATGCCTCCCACATGCAGCCATAAAAAGTGGTGACCTGGGCTGCACCAGGGCAAGGCCTACCTCTCCGGGGAGGGTTCTGGGCCCCTGGTCTTCCCGGCAGCGGCTTGACAATCACAGGTTCGTCTTGCCGCATGGCCAACTTCTGGGTCATTTCCACTAATCTGGATAGCACGAGTGCAGCTCAGCGTGAACAGCGCTGCTCCCTGCGCAAAGCCCCGGCCACGCAGTGCCCGCCCCCACACACCTGTGTCTCAGGTTGGCGGCCTCTCTCTTCTCCTCCGCGATCAGCCTCTCTGCATTGCGCGCTTTGAGCTGTGGAGACAGGGTGGCCAGTTCATGCAGCCTTGGAGTGAAACGGGGAAGGGAGGAGGGGGAAAGCACTTACCCAGTTCTCGTGAGCTTTCTTCTCGTGAGCTGCAAGCTGGAAGAGACAGCACATCAGGGCGCACTTAGGGCGGCATGGCCGTGGCTTTGGAGCCACCAGAGCACCTGTGGGTACCACAGAACGCGGCCACTCCTGGCAGTATGATCATTACCTGGTTTTTAAATGAGCGTTCTGTCTTCTGTAGCTCTTCCTCTATTTCCTGAATTCTCCGCCTAAAAATGATACTTGTCAGTTAAAACCAACCAAATAAAATCTGAAACTGTCTGTTTCCTCTACTCTAACCCTCTACCTTAAAGGCTTCATCACGCACACAATGTGAGCAAAATAAGTTGTAATTCCCTCATTTTTCATTTTCTAGCTAGAGACTGAGTAGATACCATAAATCTCCTTCACCTTCTCGCTAATGTTCTCAAATGTGCTAGGAATATCTTCCCCACAAAGGCTTCTAATTATGGTCCACAGGAGATGGCCCGGATGCTGCCCCCGGGCCTGTCCGTGGCACAGTGACTCCAGTGGGTTTCAGTGTGTGACAGGAACAGGCTGCTGTCCTGAAGAGTAACACCAGGGACACGACCCTGCAGGCTCTGCACAGCCGAGGAGCTCTGTGGTTAACAACTTCCCTCCTGTTAAACTGTAACTCCTCTCTTGCTGCCTTAGGCGCTCCCACCCTCCCCGGCTCCTGCCCCTGCGGCGGAGTGCTGGCCTCCCTGTGTGACGTGGACTTTACACAGCAGCTCACCCGGCACCACACTCACTTGTACGCTCTGACCTCCTCTGTGGCCATCACCACCTTCCCGTCGGCCGCCGACAGCTGCTGGTCCCGCTCCTGCAGCTCATATTCTTCCTGACTCAGCTTCCTAGGACAAAGGCAGCTGCCAGTGGAGAGTCCGCCTGCGTGCCACTCCATGCCAAGCAGCCAGGCAGAGTTCCAGAGGGGACTCACATCTGCCCCTTGGGAGGTGACGCCCTGGGCTCCTGGCCAGACACCGCATTCTCTCAACTTTCCTGTCCATTCTCTTATCATCAGCAAACAGAAGAAACACAGAACACAGCACGAAAAGCCAGGACCAAGCCAGTGGAGGCTAGGGAGCTGCTGAAGCACAGCAAAGCCCATCCCCTCCTCCTGCCAAGAGGGACTGCAGGTCCCATGAGGCCACACCGGGGAGAGGTAAGGAGGCTGCACCGAGCCCCCAGCAAATACCCCAGCTTCAGGAAGAGTGCAGAACGTGCTGGGTTGTGAGGCAGATGACAGAGACCCAGCGGGCAGAAGCTGCCTCTGGTGGCCTCTACACGTGGCTGGCGGCACCCTGGGCCCTGACTTTGCTCTATAATTACCACACATCACATCTCTGACTGGGACCTCCACAGGCCCACACACTGGCCAAATCTCTCAGACCAGGAAACCCTGTCAGGAGAGCACCCCACAGATCCCAAAAGAACTGTGCCTCAGGGCTGGGGAGATAGCTCAGAGACTAAGCACTTGCCTGGCAAGCTCAAGGTCCTGAGTTCA